ATACTAAGAACCAATCCATAACGAGGAATAAAAGCATATCCTTTCATAAAAACTAGATAAAAGTCAGTAACACATAGTTACAGATGTATGTGCATCAGTATTATGTATGTGACACTTTTACTTCATCATGAACATAAACCTAAATCCCATAAACATCAAGTCCTGATTTGCTCACATTTGTAAGATCCCAAATATGTCTTACTCCTATAGCCTTTTATTATTCCTCCACTGATTGAAAACAAAAACAAAAGGCAAAGCAATAGAGGATGGGTCTTACAAAAATTGTTTTGTGTGACAACAGACACTTTTGGTTGACCACCCAACCAACCCTGTTCTGATCTTCCTTACTGGTAGAGCATCTGTTGTGTTTGGGTGTTCTTCCTCCACTCATCATATGACTCAGGGTTAATTTCTGATTTGTCCAAGTTACTCACGGTATCTCATTTCTTTGTCAGCAGTTGGTTTAAGGATGGGTATCTAACCAGCTCCAGATACTGTGATATGAGGTGAGATCTTGCTGGGAGATTTTGGGGGAGAAGTTTCCTCATTCTTAAAGAGGGACAGACAAGGAAAATATAGTCCCTTTCTTCTATTGGTCTGGATTCCTGGAACTACAACATATCTTGTAAAATGGGAACTCTTGATTTCCCTGTCTTGGGGCTTTTAAAAAACATTTTTGTTTTTTATTTTCATCAAAATACATGTACTTACTTGAAAAAGATCAAATGATCTACAATATTTATTCTAATGATAATTAGCAGCCCCCTGTACCCATTCCCAATCATTCATTCAACAGAGGTAGATGCTATTAACTCTTTAATTTTCTTCTATCTACTTCCATGTTTTTAAATAACATTGCTATTTCTTAGATTTTTAGATTTAGACATTTAATTTTTTCTTTTTTTCTATTTTTTATCATTTATTTATTTTTCAGAGAGAGAGAGAGAGAGAGAAACAGAGTGTGAGCAGGGGAGGGGCAGAGAGAGAGGAAGACATAAAATCAGAGAAGGCTCCAGGGTCCAAGCTGTCAGCACAGAGCCTAACGCAGGGCTTGAACTCATGAACCATGAGATCATGACCTAAGCAGAAGTTGGACGCTTAACCGACTGAGCCACTCAGGCACCCCTCCACATAACTTTTATTGCTCTATCCTCCCAACATACTTATTAAATAACTATTCAGTATTTACAGTTGAGCCAGGTGGGGTAATATATTGTCTTCATGTACCATTTGTTTTCCTTGGAGTTAACATTTGCCTCAATTTTTTTCTTTTGTATAGTTTTAGGATATATGCTGTGGCTTCTCTCTAAGCTTCCTACCCAAACTGGAAAACTTCTCTCAGTAAAGCTAAACTCACAGTCTATGACTTCCGTTTTTTTACATGTAGCTTATCCATGTTGGGAGAGGAATAGATAGCCTACATAGTAGAATTTGGAGGAATGGCAGCATATCTCTCTCTACTCCCCTTTAAACATCTACCCCACTGTCTTTATTGATATTTTGGATTTTACTTTCAACAATTTATTTCCTTCTTTTTAGTTATTAGGTTATCCTGATACCCTTCTGTGAAAATGCATATGCTTACTAGAAGGAGGTTGATTACCAGAGTAACCAATATGGTAGTGTGACCAGATCGTGCATATATTTTTTCCAATGGCAGAGAGAAACAGAGGGTAGCATTGAAAGGCTAATAAAGGGAAGACAGCAATAGTAAAGAAGTTTTTCTTGTTTTACAGATTTACCCTGCCCACCTCTGCCATAGGATTCTTTATGTTTGTTGAAGCACCAAAGGAGAGAGCATTAGCTGGGTTTGAGATAGTAACATACATACCCTATCATCCCTTGGAATGTATAATAAATGGGCCTTGCCTTTAAAGGCCATAACTATTAGTCTAATCTCTCTTTGAAGATTTTTATTCAAAGGTGAATGGAAATGATGATTAGCATACCCACACACTCTCACACACATGTGCGCATGCACACACACACACACACACACACACACACACACACACATCTACATGCAGAAAGCCACCTAAAGAAGAATGAAATCGACTATGGGGCTTGATTTTGGCCTGCTGAGTAAGAACTCCTGCTGTATTCCGTCTTCTTCCTTCTACAGCAGTGTTGTTTCCAATAGTGAGTGAGTAGAATAACAAAATCAAAAGAGTCTAACATGAAAACAGTTTTGCTTTGCTGGCATCCACAAAGATACCTTCAGACAGATTAAACAGTTTGAACTGCAGGTGATGTATAGAATAGAAAACCAGTATTTTCCTTATTCACATTTTTTGGTTACATTTGACAAGTTTGAGAATGCAATTTCTCCATGGGCAATATTGACACGATCATTAGGTTGAGGTTTAACAGCATGCAGCTAACATTCGTTTCCCCTTGTGTAGCTTGGATCTTAATGTATCATTTAGTGAATGTCCAGCTACATCAGTTAATGTCAGGGCTAGCTAGATCCAGACTTACTCAGTTTCTTTCATTTGCTTTTCTTCTCATCCTTCTCCCATCTGGTAGTAGTTTCAGCTAAACGTAGCTCAATCTAGCATATGCAGGAATGTGAGGTTAAGAAATCATTTTATTAATCCCTACCCCTAAGAATAACCACATTCGATGATTTGCCTTGAATTGAGGCAACCGATGGGTAAGAACGTAAACCCTGACCACTACAGGGATTCAGAGTAGTACAGATATTTGTGAGGAAATGAATAGAGCCTGATAGAAACCGGACTGCAGGGAGGAACTATCAGGCTTTGAGAAAAAATATCAGCATAAAGAGGGAAGGAGTCCAGCCCAATAATATGGCATAAAGTGGAGGGAAGGGTATTTCTGTGTACATTGAAGCTATGTTTGAATGCATCTCAATTCAGTACCCTACGGGGAACACAGCTCCCTTGGGAGGAGAGGTCTGGGTGCTAAACTTGTATTGACTGCATTTTTTGCAGGTGGTGGCAAAAGCCTGTGTTGGGACATGCCTTACGGCTGTAACCATCCCACTACCTCCTCAGTAAATTTTATGATTCTAAAAGTAAAGGGGGAAAGAATTTCCCTACAAGCAAGAGAGAGAGAGACAGAGACAGCAAGAGACCTGCGCATCAGGCATCTGGAGGTAAGGTGGGAATTCCAAACAGTGAGGAGGTGAGTTCAGAAGCCCAGAGGCCAGTGAATAGGGGGTATATGTGCAGCAGGGGTTGAGGGACAGAAAGTAATATTAGCACAATCCATTTTGAGCAGGGGTAGGTGATATCAACTAGGGCAAGCACTAGAAGATACTGGGGTGGCAAGAAGAGCAGAGTCTGGGGCCCAACTATATGTAAAACAAACTTCCATGTCCTTTTCATAACTCTCTTTGAATGCCTGGAGAAATACAATGAACTCCTGCTATTCAGCAGAAGATTATCAATATTATGGATGTAGGGTCTAATGATTACAGGGATCTGACTTAGGACCCATAAGGTGGTGAGCTTGGTGGGCATTAAGAAATTTCATAAGGTTGGGGCACCTGGGTAGCTCAGTCGGTTGGGCGTCCAACTTCGGCTCAGGTCATGATCTCACAATCCGTGAGTTCGAGCCCCGTGTCGGGCTCTGTGCTGATGGCTCGGAGCCTGGAACCTGCTTCGGATTCTGTGTCTCCCCCTCTCTCTGCCCCTCCCCTGCTCATGCTCTGTCTCTCTCTGTCTCAAAAATAAATAAAAACACTGAAAAAAAATTTTATATGGTTAACATATACATATGACACATAAATATATATGTATATTATCTGCATATTGTCTATAATAAAAATGGCACAGCTTTATATATAAGCCTCATCTGTAACAAAGGCTAGGGGCACCTGGGTGGCTCAGTGGGTTGAGCACGTGACTTCAGCTCAGGTCATGATCTCATAGTACATGTGTTTGAGCCCATACTGGTCTCTCTGCAGTCAGTACAGAGCCCACTTCAGCCTCTGTCTCCCTCTCCGCCCCTCCCTGCTAGTGTTTTCTCTCTCTCTCTCTCTCTCTCTCTCTCAAAATAAATAAATAAATAAATGATAAAATAAAATAATAAACATTATGAAAAAAATAAAACAAAGACTAATGTTTGCTTTACAACTAAAAAACTCAAAGAACTCTGAGAAGTGATAAGACGTGTGCATAACTATCAAGTGTATTATTTTTCTCTTACGAATAAACCACATCCAAGAGGCAACCAAATGCATGTATTTCTTGAGTGGAAAATGGTAGTGATACCTTTCTTCTGGAAGCTTTCAGGTGCTATGTTTTCATAGTTAATACGAAACTGAAATATTGCGATGGAGAATCTTGGTTTGGCTCTTCCCAGCCCCTCTGGCCCCTCAGCGATATGGCTTTAGGCCACCGCTCTGTCAAATAGTTCCCACCATATGGTGCTAACAAAACACTGCTACTTCCATTCTCAATGAAGTGGCTACAAAGAACTGACAAACCGCTAAAAGCCTAAATAGCTAACAGTTCATTAACTCTGTGTCGTATTTGGGTCATGCACACGAACTCCTGGGTTCTCTTCCTGGTCCCAGTCAGGAGATCTGAGGGCCACTAATTGTTCCCACGGGGCGGCTTTCGGGCTACAATGTCACCATGCACCAGCGAGCGCCGGGCATCTGTCGTCTGCGGCGTCGCCCCTTTGTAATTGGGTCCATCTTGAGGAAAGCTGCGAAGCTCTGGCTACAGATCCCCCCTTCCCTTTTGGTGAGATAACCAGCTCATTAAATCTCAATGTGAAGGGCATTTTATTACGAAGAGTCAAATCCAAAGATTTACTTGCCCATTTGTCACCTGCTTCCCCCTCCTGCTTATTCCTTTGTATTCGTTAATGGCCTTTCTCGAAGTTATATAATCCTGTCACGGGTATAAAAATATCACTCCAAGGCGGCTCATTTGGCCTAAATCATTCAGCCGTTAGCGATGACAGGGCGGGTGTATGAACCACACTGGAGGCATGAGGACAGCTGTCCCCAACTCTACTCGTTGTCATCAGGCTAAGAAACGCGGAGGTTTTAATAAGATCATAAAGTAGAGTGACATGGACTGGGATGATGGGTAGTTTTCATTTGCATGCCGAATGCCCGGGATAATAAATTAGAGCAATTGAGCAGAAATGGGCAATTTGATTATTCAACATTTTTCACCACCAGCCCAAGCAGCTGGCCCAGGAGCGGTTGTGTTGACTTTTCTCCCCGCGCAGCAGGCTGGCGGGGCCCAGGTGAGGGCAGAGCTGTCACTGTCTCCAACCCAGGCTCTGGGAGCCAGACCCGGGCTTGGCGGGTGTGAACTGATGACCCGGAGGAGGAAGGCTTCATGTGTCTTTGCAGCCGAGGTGGCTGAGAGGGGGGCTGGCCGACTTTTACTGCAACAGGCCCACGCTGATGGAGAGAACACCGGTGCAAAGCACCCTGAATGCAGCAATTTACATTCCTGTCAGAGGGGCTCTCAGTCAGCAGGGTTTTCCTGCAGAAACTCAAATATAGTGTGAGACTGGTCTTTAATTGATTCACTCCGGCCAGGGAGCTCCAGGCCAACTCTTCCACAGTGTTACCAAACTATATATATCATATAATATATTATATATAAATATATATTATTTGATGTATATGTTAATTCTATATATTCTATAAATTATATATTAAATAAATATATAAAATATATCATATTTATAGACTTATTTAATATTATATTATAATATTTATTTAATAATTTATATAATATATAAAATTATAAATATATTTATAACATATGAAATATATAATATGTATTATATATATAAATTATAAACCTTGTGTATAAATTGATTAGATAGGGCAGAAACATAAGTAATTATGAAATTTTATGTTTAATATGACACAGGATCATCTGAGCCACTATAAAATTCTTACTGTTCATTTGGGTTTCATGCTCTTTTTTTTTTTAAATTGATATTTCATTAAAAATAACTTTCAATGTAAGCTTTTTGTTAAGAAGAAGGTGGATGATGAAGTTTATCAGCATTGATGAATGCAGAATGACTTCCTTACAGATTCTCATAGGCACCTTTAAAGCAGTTTACAGTTATGTTCAGAGCTACCCCATGGCTTTATGCGTACCTGATTGATAGCCTTCTGTTTAGACATCTTGTTTTCTTCATACCGCCGTATCTTACAGTAAAACTAGGTGTTAGACATCATGTGGCTCGACTGCTCTTGAAAAAAAGCCTTTTGGTTTTCTTGATTTGTCCCTTCATTAATGTTAGATACTTGGCCTCGCACCCTGGTGTCATGGAGGGGTCTCATACTTTTAACTTAAATAGTACAAGAACTCCAAATTGTTCAGCACTAAAATTGATTTTGATGTCACAACATAAAAAACTTACCAGTTCAACCACGGAGACTCTACTTTATTGATGTATAACAGAGGATTATTACCATTCTTCAGTGCCTTTTAGGGTGGGGTATTAGTGTGTTTATATATATAGACATTTGTGTGCATGTTTGTGTATGCACACATTTGTACATAAACACATACACACACATTTGCATTTACATGAAAGTTCATTTTGCTTTTGAATTAGCTTAGTGAAGAAACTACTCACCCATCCAGTGACCATGCAAACACATTTGGAACTACTCTTCACAGATATTTTCATAGTTATATTAGAAAAATTAGTATTATTACTTTAAGTTAGATAGCATCCTATATTAACCAAATATTTGCTTCCTGTTTTTCTCCTCTCCTTCTTTCTTTTTGTTAACTCTGCTTCCTTTTGCCGTCTCAGTTCCTCTGTCAGCAGCCTAGAGAGAATCACAAAAAGGATATACCGGAGTGGTACAAAACCCAAGAGTTTTGGGTTTCAGGCTGAGGGTCCTACCTGAGGCTGTGACACACAAAAGCTTACAGGGCAACAGCATAGTCAGGCTCACATTGGAATAGCAAAGGCATGGGCTCTGAAGTTCAGAGTCGAGTTCAAATCCTCATACAGGTACTTATAGCAGTGTGACATTTGACTGGGTTGTCCTCTGGGCATTGCTTTTCTTATCTATAAATCAGGGCTACTCACTGAGTTACATCATGAGATTAGTTGTGAGGATTAATTATGTGTGACGCGCTTAAAATGGCCCAGCGTTCAGTATTTAGACCTCTTCTCCTCTGTCTACACTCACTCCCTTGGCGGTCTCATGGAGTCTCAGAGGACTTCAAATGTCTGTAATGTTGATGACTCCCCACTCTATTTCTCCAATACTGACCTCCCTCCTGAACTGCAGACTCATGTATCAAACTGTCTACCTGATGCCTCCTCTGGGATGTCTAACAGGCATCGAAACACATCTCCAACTGCACTCTGCACCCCCTGTCTCTTCATCAGCTCTTTTCTTCTCGGACCCCCCCTTCCCATTCCTTAGGCTGACGTCCTTGGAGGCACCTGGGACTCCTCACTTTCTCTCAAACTCCAGATCTAACTCATTTGTAGTCCTTTGGGGTCTAACTTCAAAATAATTCCCGAATGCAGTCATTCCTCACTATCTCCTCTGCTAACAATCAGCCTGACATAGCTGACATTTATAGACTACCCCGCCAAACAATAGGAAAGTGCACGTGCCCTTCAGTTGCTCCTGAAACATTTACCAAGATAGACCACATCCAGGACATAAAGCATATCTCAGCCATCATTACCTCATTCCCAAGGCGCTAGAGAGCTTCCATTCGCCCCCTCCGATCCACCATCTACCACGCTTTCTCTCTCGTCCTCTGGAGGCAAACTGGTGTGGGCAATTAGGCATCAACAAACCTTTTCTGCAAAGTAGATATTCAGGGCTCTGCAGTCCAGACAGTCTCCGTTGCAGATACTCAGTGCTGCTATGGTGTGGAAACAGCTGTAGATAATAAGAAAATGAAGGAGCACGATTCTGTTCCAATAAAACTTTCTTAACAAAAAACAGGCAATGGGCTGGATTCGGCCTGGGGGCCAACACCTGGACTCCATCAGGGTCTCGCTTGCCCTGTGGATCCTACAGGGTTTGGTCAGTGGGGGAACACTAGCCAGGAATGAGAGGGAGAGAGAATGTTGGCACACGTATTCCACAGGCACCTGCAAGGTCACGGCAGCCTGGCTGTGTCCCTCAACCAACAGCTCGGCCTCCATTAAGCAGCGCACTCCATCGGGTACTCACTCTCTCTGGGTTTTTATGACAATTTTCCCCTCACCTTTTCAGCCTTTGGCGTGGTAACAGTAAATGCTCCATTCCTTACGGGTTCCCGGCATCCTGCCCGTTGTTTGGTAATAGTCCCTTTGCTAAACTGTTCCTCAAATTACCCACTTTAGTGTGCCAGTGTTTCAGCTGGGACCCTGACTGATACACTCAGATTATAGCAATAGCCTTGTGCCCACCCTCCCCCCACTCCCCAGTCTATTTTTAACACAGCGGCTAGAATGATCCTGCTAGGACTGGTAGTGCTGGGTCATGTCACTCATCTGCTCAAACTCGTGGCTGTGTATTTTCTCAGAGTAAATGCTAAAGTTCTTAACTCTGGTCTATAGGCTCTGCACATTTGCCTTCTACCACCCAATATGTCCCATTTCATTTATTTCTATTGCCCTGTCATGCCACTCCTGACTCATTAGCTTCCTCGCTGATGCTGGAACACATCAGGCTCACTCGTACCTCAGGGCCCTTGCACTGGCTACTCCCCCACTGCCAGAAATGTTCTCCCGAATACCTGCAGGGCTTCCTCCCCACCACTTGGCTGACTCCCTGGAGTTTGCTCAAAAAACAGTGAGGACCTCATTTCACATTTTATATGGCCTCTCCTCCTCCACTCCTGGCTGCTTTCCCAGGTCTATTTTATTTTCCGGAACACTTACCAGTTTCTAACATACTCTACAACTTACTGATTGCTCGTTAATCTCTCTCCCCGCTCTAAGTAAGCTCCATGAGGGCAGGGATTTCTATGGCTTGCCGTCCATAGTGACATAGGCATTCAGTACAGACTTAATAAGTGACTTACTAAAATTAGGAAGTTTTAATAAATAAATAATTTGATAAATTAAAGTGATTTGTGGAAAGTACTCTGGATTTCTAGTTGGGAAGCCTGGTCTGGAATCCAAGTTCTGCTTAATTTGTCCGTCATTCCTTTCCTCCCTCTCTTTGTCGTTCCCTTCTTCTGAGACCTGTTGAAATAAGTGTTTGTCTTTATAATTGCGCAGATACTAACAGAAACCTTTACTTAAAAAAATCACACAGTATTCTCACCTCCTAAGCCTTTCAATGTTGATTTCAATAGCCTATGTTCCTTTCCAACCATTGTTCATGCATAGATATAATCTTAAAATGATAAGCATAACATAGGTACTGTTTCTGAATTTTATGTTTTCACTTAATTTTTCCATAATGAAAATGGCTCTCCCCCCACCCCTCCCAACTCCAGTTATTCTCCTTGAGAAAGAAATGAACAGCACACAAAATATGAAAAGAAAATAAGATACTAAAATCTCACCACCTAAGATACCACTATCAGTATTATGTTAAATCATCCTTGCGGGCATCTCTTCAGGCATTTGTATATGTGTGTATACACACACACACACACACACCTATATATATACACATATACATATACACATACATATACACACATACATACACATAGGTACACACACATACACACATATACACATATACCTACATGCATACTTATATACACATACATATATAGACACATATACATAATACAGATACACACATATACATACATACATATATATACACATATACATACATATATACACACAAACACATATATGTAAACATATACACATATGCATACATATATACACACATACCTACATACATATATACACACATATACATACATATATATATATACACATATATGCATACATATATATATTTAACAAAAAAAGGACAGCACTAATGCTATTTTTAGTCACTGAATCTATTAAAAAATAAATAACAATGCAGCATCTCTAACCAGGATATTAGAGGGATGTATAATATTTTATCCATAACTTTCCCCAGTTTGTTTCACTTTCAAGTTGTAATTTCAACGTTTGTTTGTTTTCCGAGGTTAAGCAGTGCGATCTCTCTCAAACTTGAGTATTTTGGATCATTTTAAAGTCAAAATAAGGTTATTGTAAACCCTGAGTACTGACTTCGGTTATTTTGTGAAAACGTTACTTAATATACACTAACATATAACTCAATGCTTCCTATGTTTATAGTTCTCAAGTAAAACCAAAGCAAGTTTATAAATTAAATATAAAAACAACACTATAAAATCAATAAAATCCAAATTAATAACGTTAATATGATGCATGGTACTATTTTGATGACATTAAATTACTAATGTTTGGTTTAACGATTGAATGATACAGCCTCAAATTTGAGCCTATATTTAATTTCTCTCATTATTTTTACTTCAATAATACAGAAAATGTTAATTTGTAATTGTGTTTTACAAATGAGTGTTAATACCTTTAAGGCATTGCTGGCTAGTTCAAGTTAATCATACCACCTACTTAATCAAAATTGCCGCCCATCAATTCATGATAGCAAATTTTAATGAAGTTTCATTCTGTAAAGTTGTTTTGTTCAATTAAAGATACTGGTAATCTTAGCATTGCTGCATTATTGAAGTCTGCTTTCAAATGGCCAATTTTCAGTAGGATTAGGAATGGCAATAGTAATCACTTAATTTTCACTGCAGCTTCCAATTACTGTGCTGATCCACCCAGAGACGGGCACCTTTGCAGGATGGTGACCAGCAATCTGCCTGTGGCCCTGACAGCTTTGGTCCCACTTTAGTTGTCTGAGGTTACATGGCTTGGGGTGGCTCCATTTTCTTACTCCATTTCTCTAGTTAAATCACAGAAGGGGTGCCTGGGTGGCTCAGTTAAGCTTCTGACTTTGGCTCAAGTCAAGATCTCATGGTTTGTGAGTTCGAGCCCCACATTGGGCTCTCTGCTGTCAGTGCAGAGCTCACTTTGGATCCTCTGTCACCCCCCTCTGTCCCTCCCCCTACTCCCATGCACACACTCTCTGTCTCTCAAAAAAAAAAAAAAATTAAATCATGGTAAAATACTGATTTGTAAGGTGTTCCCCTGACATTATTTGGTTATCACTTGGATGAAATATACCCACAAACACAAACTCAGACTTTTAAATGATGTGGTTACTACATGGTTACATTTGGTTAAAAGATGGTCAAAGAGGGGCACCTGGGTGGCTCAGTAGGTTAAGCGTCCCACTCGGCTCAGGTCATGATCTGAGACAGAGCCCTGCGTCAGGTTCTGTGCTGACAGCTCAGAGCCTGGAGCCTGCTTCAGATTCTGTGTCTCCCTCTCTCTCTGTCCCTCCCCTGCTTGCAGTCTGTCTCTATCTGAAAAATAAATAGACATTAAAAATAAATAAATAAATTAGATGGTCAAAGTGATGGTAAAGGTGCTTATGTTTTCCATATCGGGGACCACTATGACTAAGTACAACATGAGCACATTTTCTTAAAAGATCTCACTGGCCCGAGGGCATAGGAGTCTGCACTATAGATTGAGAAACATAGACATATGGGTTTCTACATGGTTCTGAGCTCAAATGATAGCTTCACAACGTATAAACTATGCAAACTTGGGCAGTTTACTTAACTTGTCTGCACCCCACTTTTTTTTAAGTTTGTTTACTTTGAGAGAAAGAGAGAGAGAGAGAGAGGGAGAGAGAGAGAGAGAGAGAGAGAGAGAGAGAGAGAGAATCCCAAGCAGGCTCCACAATCAGCGTGGAGGCCCCCCACCTGGGGCTTGATCTCACTAACTGTGGGATCATGACCTGGGCTGCAATCAAGAGTCGGACGCTTAACTGACTGAGCCGCCCAGATGCACCATCATTTTCCCTATTTGTAAGATGATGATCATTCTCACCGGTCACATGAGAAGAATCAACGTTGGGGAGCTGTAGTGAGAGGATTTAATGAATTGTGACAGACCCCGTGTGCGGCCAGAGCACCGTGTTTGGGAACTCTTTGTTGCCCTTACGAACAGTACAGCTGATGGAGCCTCTAGCCCTGGGGAAAAAGCTTTAGCAGTTCATTTGCGGAGTTCCTAAATCATTGCACTGAGTGGGTGATTATAGACTTCATCACCAGCCAGATATTAAGACCCAGTTTTACAGCCACAACATTACATAATTTTCCAACAAGCAAGGGGATAATCATTTTACATGTGACCAGCCCCTGATCTAAAAGAAGCATTTTTCTTTTCTAAGGTTAAAACCCAAACTCAGTCCGGAGATGGCAGGCCAGTTAAATATGCATCTGAATTATGGGTTGCAATACTTTTAAGGAGCGGCGTTCAGGGAAGAGGAACTACAAGGCAATTAAAAAAAACTTTTGTGGATGATTAAGTGTTTGAACAGCTTTTCCCATCTGATGGCAATAAAGATAAGAACTGGGGTTGATTTTGATGGCTTCCATCTAAAGAGTAGCTTTTTTTTTTTTTAATTTTAGAGAGAGAGAGAATGCACACAAGTGAGTAGGGGAAGGGCAGAGAGAGAAGGGGAGAGTGAATCTTAAGCTGGCTCTGTGTGGAGCCCAAGGTGGGGCTCAATCCCACCACTCCGGGATCATGATCTGACCCCAAATCAAGAGTCAGATGCTCAACCGACTGAACCACCCAGGTGCCCCTAAAGAGGAGCCTTTAACTCATTTTGTAGATATTTCTCCAGACTTATTGCTTCTTCTGGAACTCCATGGAGGAGAAGGTAGTATACTGGAACAGAACATTCGTAGACACACAAGTACGAGACATCCTCTATTACCAATATCTACCTACTGAGAGATAAAGCAAATCTTTTATTTTTATTTATTCACCTGTACACTATTTGAAGCATAGTGCACTTACTACCTTCCGGACAACGTGCATTTTCTCATAGATCAAAGTTAGGTGAATAATTGCTTTATGCTGGGGTCCACTGTGATGCCTGGTAAGATTCACCTGTAGATGGGCCATGATAAGTTGAAGATCACATAGTGACCGGGACCTAACACTGAGCTCAGAAAAGAACCCGCTCTCCTTCCTTCATGACAACGCAGAGTTCGTTTTTGTCCGGAGTCGGTGCGGGGGATGAGCCAGTTTTTAAAAAACCTCTATCTAGTTGGTGGATTTAAAACAAACAAACAAACAAACAAACAAACAAACAAGCAGGCATATAAGGGAGCTGAATATAAGTGACCAGGGGAGGCTGGAAACCTAGAAATGACACTACTGTGTCACCCCCGAAGTAATGGGGGCCTCTAAGCCTGGTACTGACTGACAACAGCGTGCTGTAAGCCAGGGATTAGATCCAGTGCCAGAGCAAAGAAATATTCCTTTCTCTCCCCACTGGAGCCCTGGCCACCTTCCGTCATTATTTCCATTATCTCTTCTTCCATGAGGCCACCTGGCCACTGCCAAGTGTTTCTCAGCTGACACTGTTGATTGTGTTTATTCAAAGTCCTCTGCGGGTCTCGCTCTGCCTCGGCGTTCCCCCCACTGGGCTGTGTGGGGCTGTGGAGTTCTATAACTTTCCTTTCAACAGCTGGCAGCTACAAATTAACTTTTTGACTTCATTAGGCTAATATGCTGAATTATCCCTAATTTGGAGCACCTGAGGCACTCCCCGCCGCCTCCCTCTCCCCTCCAACCGCCTCCTCTCATCAATCAGGGGCCCAGTAGCAGGGAAGCAGCATATGGAGCCAAAGGCCAGCTTGGGCAAAGCCTACATGTGTTTTTCTACCCCGGCCGAAGAACAGAAAGGCCTAGACCTTTGCAATCACCACATCCTGCGGTCAGGGCTGGCGTGAATACAAGACACAGCTGCACTGCAGAAATAGTGAATGTGACCAGACAGGTCAATCATCCCCCTGCCTTTGGGGTATGCGCCAGTCCTCCAGCAAGTCCCATCCTGGATGGTGGGACTCAGAACTGCCTTCAGGGGCAGGGATAACTTATTATGATTGCCTCCGGCATTCCCAGAAGTCAGACTAAGCGGGAGAGCATTCCCTTTTACCCCTCCCCGTTTTCCCAGCAGTCAGAAGGCCAAACGCTTTTACCTTACACAATCAGTGAGACATAGGGCAAAAAAAAAAAACAAACAAAAAACTAAAAACCAAAAAAAAAAAAAAAAACAACCCAAGACCAACCCCGCCCTCCCCCCCAAGTTTTATAGTCTTTCTCAAGTCATACCTGCATTTCCTGACAGGGGATCCTGGCTTGCTTCCTTCCAGCTGGATTTCCTTAAAGCCCCAAAATAGTTCAACACAGTCTATGAAGTTGAACAAAGATCTTCCCACTATCCTGTCAGGCTCAAGTGCCAATTTTCTTCCCAGAGAGTTTTCCCTAGAGGGCACTGAAGGAAAACCAGCACAAACAGAACTCTTAAAATCTCTTTCGGATCCATGGTGCACTGCTCCCTGCAGTTTTAGCGGATAAAAACTCTTTTCATCATATGGCTCTCCTGGAACCTTCCCTCCCTAAAAGCTTGGCCTGAGAATGAGGCTGGGGAGACGGAAAAAGGCAGATAAACAAGATTTGCTGGAACAAAAGAGCCAAAACGTCCCTGACTTAAATCTTATAAGGGGAGTTACACTTTGTAAAAGCAATTCAGAGGCACTTTGTACATGGAGCAGTCATGGAAATAGTTTCTTAGAGATAGAATTGGAGCATAGGAAGGGAACGTCGATGCCTGGAATCTTAAATTGGATATTACTTGGTTTTACTCCCCTTAGGGTTTGTTTTCTGCAAGCTTTTGTTTTTATAGTTTATGGTTCAGGCAACCCTATGTCCTAATTTTCCTAGGACAATCCTTGTTTACACTTGTGATCCTAATGAACTTTTCAAAAGTGTCTTCTACTTTCAAGAATATTCCAATTAGAAAAATAAGTTACAGGGTCACCCTCTGACCTGTGAACTTCCCAGTGACCATTTGTCCGATCTCCCGACTCAAGATGATAGAGTGGATCAGCTGCTTTTTAAGAATTTAAATTAACATCATGAGAGAAAAGGTAGCCTTTCAAAACCCATTTCTTCTCTGTCACCTTTTCCTCCTCATACAGGGCAAAAAAGTGATCGAGAAGCCATGTGTTGGAAAGAGCGTAGAATTTGGAATGGTAAGGGCTTGGGTTTTAATTCACCTGGTGACACTTTGAACTTTGGTCAAGTAAGTTTAGCTCTGTACCTCATTGTCTTGGTCTAAAAGATGAAACTATATAAAAGATAACTGAAAGTGTTACATAGTGATGCTATGCTTATGGAACCAGCACAGAGGCTGGGAGAGGCAGCCCGAGCAGGCTGTAAGTAGGTGCAGGTGGAACAGCCTCCGAGTAGCAGAAGAAAGGCTCGAGGTTTGGGTCAGATGATCTCCGGTTGAGTATTTCCTATGTAAGCAAATAGCTATGTAACCTTGGACAAGCCCGCCAATTTCCTTCCCTCAGTTTCATCTAGGTCTGGCCTAACTTGCACTTTCTCTCTTTTAGTGGTAAAATGAAGTAATGCTTATGAAAAACTTTATAAACTGTAAAGTTTGTATTGATATCAACTATCATTTCCTGATGCTGTTTTGGAAAATATTCTTATATGTTATGAGAAGGTGGTTCACGTTACATTCTGAGCGCGGGAAAGTGCGCCAGACTTGAGAATGAGGGTCCTGATTTCTGAAGCCCCGAGGTCTGCCTGGAGTGGGCTGTGAGCTGAAGTCAATGGGTGAAGGCGTGTAGAGGCGAATCAGTCGTCAATGAAAGAAACACCTTAATGATCCTAGTGGTTGGAGACACTGTGTCCACTCTGTTTGGCTGACACAATTCATTCCTTACCCAAGAATCACCTTCTCTTATTTTCTGGTAACAGACCCCTAATTTTAAAAATTTTTTTTTTTTTCAACGTTTATTTATTTTTGGGACAGAGAGAGACAGAGCATGAACGGGGGAGGGGCAGAGAGAGAGGGAGACACAGAATCGGAAACAGGCTCCAGGCTCTGAGCCATCAGCCCAGAGCCCGACGCGGGGCTCGAACTCACGGACCGAGAGATCGTGACCTGGCTGAAGTCGGACGCTTAACCGACTGCGCCACCCAGGCGCCCCAACAGACCCCTAATTTTAAGGTGGAAAAAGATTCTCTATCCCAGTGGAAGTTGGGATAGACTTCTGTTCCTAGTCCTCTGTTCCTAGTCCCAGTGGCTGAACTATGCTTGGTTTCAGTTGGAGCGATATCTGTTCGCTCGTGCCAGAGATCGTCTTAAGCGTGAGCTCAAGTTTCAATTTTGGCCAATGAGGCATAAAATGAAAGTGTGAGAGATGGAATTTCTCTTCCAGTATAAAAAGACAGACCCTTTCTCCTGTTCCTATTCCTTGCCTTGACTTCATCATAGAAGGACTTTGGTGGCTGCCATGCAAACAAGAGATGCTGCCTTGAGTGTCCAGCTCTTGGCTTCAGCTCAGGTCATGATCTTGCTGTTCATGGGATTGACCCCCACATTGGGCTCTGCGTTGAGTATGAAGCCTGCTTAAGATTCTCTCTTTCTCTCCCTCTGCCCCTTTTCCCTGCTTGCTCTCTCTCTCTCTCTCAAAGAAAAAGAAACAAACAAAACACAAGGAGAGACCACATGCATGAGGATGAGCAGCCAGAACGTGAGGACAGTCTCACTGCCGTTGCTGAACCATTGATCATCTCAGGAGTGTCTACCATTAGATCACTTAGAGGAAATCATGAATGTATATGTACTGTTTGTTCCACTCTTAGATATACAGCCAGACGAATTCCTAACTGACACATCCCTATAAGATACAATTGGATAAGTGAATCCAGTTTCATTTTTTCTGGTGTTTTCTTTCAACTGTCTTTGGCGATTAACAGTTTGGCTGAATATTTTGCTTGGGTCATGAAAAGAAGACAAAATATCAGCTGCAGATACAGTTCTCTTATTTCATTTTTTTAAAATGTATTCCTACATATTTGCGAAGATAAATGTGGAAATTACAGGGTAGCAAGAGGATGTTGTTTTCTAAAAGGAAAGGATTTTTAGACTCCCAATCAGTGGATGCATAAATTCTTCTGTGATGAAGCCATGAAATGTAACTCATTCAATTGGTCTAAACATTTCAAATTTGTATTTTTGGAGCCTGGAATCCTTTATGTCTTCAGACCACATACTACGTGTATCAAAACTGAGTTAAAAATAATAAAAATAAGATTTGAAAAACCACATTGGGCTTCCTTGTCGGCAGTGGTTCCATTCTTACGTGTCAGAATTAATATTTCACACATAGCAGCTCATTAAAAAAAGTAACCTTGGAACACAAGGTCAGGTGGAGATTTTTTTTAAGATGTGCTAGAAATTACGCAGCCATAAAAAGCATTCCCACTAATTATCTTGGCACTCACGTTATGCTGACCATTTTGTCACCAAGTTGGAGGTGGCAGAGTAGAGAACCCCCTCCATGCTGTCTCATGCATTGCTTTGCTCAATTTTCTCTCAAACTCATTTACTCAATGTGGATATTTATGCAAGAGAGGGTAATGAGGTAGCCAAAGGTTATAGGGGGTGCAAAGGGCTTTTGGATGAGGAGAGCATTGGTAACTAGCGAGGCCAGCCTCGGGCTGTCTGAAATTGAAATTTGGGGCTAAATTAATAACTCAACCTGAGCACATGCAGTTTTACAGTAAGTCTGTCTCCTCTATGGTTGACACTATGTAGTTTGACATAAAAGGATCTCTAGATATGATAGAAAAAATTAAGTTCAATACTATTCCACTGAAAGTAGTGCCTTTTTTGGGGGAAGAAGACAAACCAAAAGGGGTGGTGGGACACATACTATTTAAACTTTCTCCAGAATGTGCTTTCTTTTTTTTTTAAGTTTATTTATTTTGACAGAGAGAGCATGTGCATGTGCACGCATGCAATAAGGGAAGGCACAGAGAGAGGGAGAGAAAGAATCCCAAGCAGGCTCCATGCTGTCAGTGCGGGTCCCCATGTGGGGCTTGATGTCCTGAATCATGAGATCATGACCTGAGATGAAATTAAGAGTCAGACGCTTAACTGACTGAGCCACCCAGGCGCCCCTAGAATGTGCTTTCATATTTTGGTCTGTAGAATGTGTTCGCTTGTGTGTAGACATAGTTATGATCTTGCACATAATTACATGCACAAACAGGCATCTGTTCTACAGTTAACGCTCCTCATGATTCCCTTCAAAGTCAGTATCAACTAGGGTCTAGGTAAAGCTCAGGGGCAGGGCAAGATGTTGATTGGATTCATGTCAGTGCTTTTCTTTTATTTAATTTCTTTGCATTTCAGGACCAGGAACATTGAGATAATTTCCCAAAGTCTGGTTATAGATATGGTGGGGTATTTATCCATATTTTCAGTATGGAAAATGCCCCCTTCAGAGGAATGCTCCCAGGGGGAAAAATGCCAAAAGTGACTATGAATAAACAAGAAAAAGATACCTGGGAGACATTATAGATTGGCCACTGAAGACATTAACTTACAGCTATTCTGTAGACCGAAAGGCAGTCACAATCTGAGGCATCACTGAAGCAGATTAGGATGAAAATAGAAAAGAGAATCCTACCCTTGTCCCAAATCGTGTTTGCCTTCCCAGTATTGGATGATATACTTGGTTATGTTTCAAAAAAGATGTAACCTCTTGATAGGATCTAGAAAAGGACACACCGATTGGAAGAGGAAAGGAGTTTGCTATAGGATGGCCAATGAACATTCTCTGAACTATATACTGTGGGAAGCCATGGCCAAAGCATGACTGACTGGTGGCTTTGTTGGGGATAGAAATAGCATTTAGCAAAACTTGCAATTTAAAGTCCTCCAAAATTGAACAAATCAAAGGATTCTTTCAAAAAAAAAATTTTTTAACATTTATTGAGAGACAGAGAGAGACAGAGAGTGAGCAGGCGAGGGGCAGAGAGAGACATACACACAGAATCTGAAGCAGGCTCCAGGCTGTGAGCTGTCAGCACAGAGCCCGATGTGGGGCTCAAACCCATAAACTGCAAGATCATGACCCGAGCCGAAGTCAGATGCTGAATCTACTGAGCCACCCAGGCACCCCTGGGATTCTTTTGTATAAACAAGGAATCCAGGATTTAAGTGATCATTTTAATGTCATCCAGAAGCCACACTGGAACCGTGATGTTGTGATGAATGCTGCAGTGGGTTTTAACTTCCTAGCAGTTCTTTGTGAGCTGGGATATGAGGTAAATAAACGACATGATCTCCAAACTCTGTTCTGGCGATCTGGTGTTATGGTGCCATCTGATCATCCATGACAGACCATTGATAAGGGCCGTCTCTGGTCACTGATAATGCACAGATTGTGAGGCCGTCTATGTACTTTTTCAGCAAGAGGTGCTCTGTGATTTCCTTTATTCCAAGAATTGATTCTCTCACCAGTCCAGGAGTAGCCCAGGGTGAAAGGCAAGACCTTTTCCTCTCCTTTAGCACAACCAAGAATAAAGGTGT